AGCATGGGTTATGCTCCACCCTTCTACCCCCTGACCAATGCCAGAAGAAGTACAGTGCTTCTGGGATCTGCACAGGGGTAGCTGGTTGAAATTAGCGGGTGATTTTCTCCATGCCACCAGGTAGGGAAGATGAGTCTTTCTGATCTGACGCTTCAGAAAAGCATCCTGCTTTGCCTCCAAGCTGCTCTCCCCACACTGTCTTATTCCCTGTTTCTACATACCACTAAACCTCTCCAGTCCCTCCTAGCATGCTGTGCTTCCCTCCTCCTCCCTTCCGGGCTTCTCTGCATCCTCTGCTGTGCTCTGCTGTGTCACATCCCCACAGTCCCACTGTCTTCCCTCCCAGAGCTGCTCTACTGTATCCCCTCACCCGCAAGATCTGGCCTCCTGTGCTGCATCATCCCTGCTCACCCAGCACTGCACACCACGCATACGGTGCTGATGTCTGACGCAAATGGAAGACAGGGAGAACCAAACCAGACTGCGGACGTTGCAGATGGTGCCAAAAAAAAAAGTGGTTGAGGCTGGCTCTCAGCCTCTGCTTGAAACTACCTGGCTTGAAGTGGGCGAGTGAACCTCTGCACATCTAATGCAGGAGGTGGAAGTGCCTGCTGAATGAGGCTGCCTGCTTTTGTCTCCTGTCAGTACTCAAGTGCACTGTTGAAATCCCCCACTAAGAGCAATAATACTATTAGAAGAGGCCTTGCAAGTGGCTGCACCAGGATGTGTTCCTGCCCTGCATGGGGATATAGAGAGAGAAATAATTAGCGGCACAAATATGTGCCTCTTCCCGGAGGAGGCAGCCTGGCACAGTCTCCTTCACAAAGAGCAGAGGTGCCCTGGATGTCAGGAGATGAGAACAGCCACACCAGCATCGAGAACAGAGCCGCAGCTCGAGAGAGCTTCCCCTCCTCCAGCCAGAACGAGGGACCAGGGTGCATCTCTCAATGCTTCTCGGTGTAAAGCCCCAACTGTGCCCCCTTTTCATCTGAAAAGTTCAAAGGGATGCAACTTTTACTACCCCAGATTCATTCCTGTGCAATGTGCCGAGGCAGAGCAGCCCCGAGGCAGCTAACAAGAGGATGCCAGGGAAATGCAAAGCTATAGAAAGGGGGGAGCTAGAAGACTGTGAGGACTGGGAATGCCCAAGCAACTACACAACCCTCCTGGCTGTGAAGTACAGCCTTCTGGCATGGAAATGCCAATAACAGGATGGGCCAGCCCTCAAAAGGAGTGCAGTGAGAGGGCAAAGCTCAGAAAAACACAGCAGCTGCACAGACATAGGTTTTACTTTGCATGGCCAGGATGCCGTGGAGGAATGAGATGCTGGAGAGGGCACAGCCATCTTCTTCATCACCTGGAAACTTTGTCAGGTTTCAGAGCTTCAGAGTCACAAAACTGCATTCCTGGGGTGGAGAAGGGATCTGAAATCCTGAGTACACTTTGTAAGGTGAAGTGGGCACCTTGACCCCAAGGTGAGGTTTGGGCTCTGCCTTCTCACCATGCTGCAGGGCATCCAGAATCAGCACTTTGTGGGCAAAATTTCCACCAGTGTTTACCCCCAAAGAAAGATTTCTGTTTGTCTGCAGTGGCACATCGAAGTCTCTGAACCACCAGCATGTGCTGAGAATTAGGCTGTAGGGTCATGTTTGCTCTAAATCACAGCTATTCAGGAATTACACCCTGCCCTGTTCCGGGGCTCTTAAAGCGGAGCAGGTTGTGCTCATGGAACATAATACGCTCCTTTAGTGGCAGAGCTCTGATGCCAGCATCTCACTGCAAGTGAAGGGACAACACTGGAAAAAGACTTTAGTGCCAGAAACAGACAATGGGAAAACCAGAATAAAAGACCTTGAACACAGCGTTCCTGCTTGATCCTGCGATTTCTGAGCTGCCATTGGCACAAGGAAATCACCATAGCTTTGTTCACTGGAGAGGTAGCTTTTATTTTTGTCCTGCCAGTACCCTCCATTGACTCAGCAAAGCACCTTCTGTCAGAGCAAGAAGTGATGGCACTCATCCACTCCCCACCCCAGGACTGCACAGCACCAAGGCATTTCTGGAAGTGGAAATGATGATGAGCCTTCCCATTTGTCCAGCAGGAAAGTAGATGAGAGAGACAGCAATATCGCCTCTTGAACAGAAGAAGTGAAAGACAATGTAACACGACCTCAAACTGACCAAGCCGGTGGCCACCGGGGCATCCTCTTGTCCTGAGAGGAAGACCTGGTGTATCATCTAGGATGCAAGCTCCAGTCTCTGCTTTGACTTGCACAGAGTAGAGATGAAAACTGAGCTGTCTTGCCTCTGGTTTCGTATCCTGCTTTCTATCTGTAGCTAGGAGAAAGAAATGAGGCAACTTTCCACATGCTCAGGAAATAGGACAGTTGGTCTGTGGCCAGCCCTGAGAATGACCCCAAAGACATGCACCGGCAAGCTATGCTCTCACACTGGCCTGTGTGGGCATCTTGTCCCCTGCGATGCTTGGGCTTCTGCTTTTGCACACTGCAGCGTGAGCACGCCTGTCCCCTGCGCACGAGTTCATTGGAGTGTGCCTGTTTGCGGTGCATGAGCACGTCGGCGCGCATTCAGCTCGGCTGTATCCATGTGATGCACAGCCCCATTCCCTCTGCACACAGGGGCTCGGGGTGCCACTAGCCAGGTGGCTTCAAGCTTTGCCTCAGGTTCCTGTGTGAGTCCTGCAAGGGCCAGTGGGCTCCAGAGAGGCTAGTGTAAGGCTGGAGAAACTAGTGAGACATCAGCAGTGGTGGCCAAGCAGCCTCAAGGAGGCTGGAACAGGGCCAGGAGAGGCCAAGGGACTCCTGAAGGCAGTGGGTACCAGAGGGATGCTGTGGGGCTCGGTGCAATGTGACGGGGAGGGCTGGCAGAGGCTGAAGGGTCCAGGAGGATTCTGAGGGTGGGTGTGGAGGCTGGGAGCTGTGCAATGATGTGACCCTCTCGTCCTTTTTCTGCTCCTCATTAGAGTCCCCTGAGCGGAGCAGGCTGTGAAGGGGTCTGCGCTGAGGTATGTCCTTATGGCTTCTGCCAGGATATCACAGCTTACATGTGTGCCAGGGGATGGGACACAGGAGGTGGCTCCCAGCATGGGGAGCAGTGTGGGTGCCAGAGCCTCTGCAGGGACCAGGGGGAAAAATTGGGGGGCCTCAGCCCCCAGAGGAGCTGAGAATTTGGGATACAGTCACTGGGGGTTGGTTTTAAGGCAAGATATGCTCACGCACTGGTTTGCTGCTAACTTTTCCCCTTCTTCCATGCCCATCTCTTTAGCTCTCACTTATGACCCTTGTCAACCATTGCTGGCACTGTATGCAGCCTTCTTTTGCAGAGACCTTCCTCACATCCTGGGGTTGCCTCTGTGTGAAAGCTGTGCCAGGGTGACCTGGGGACGCCTGTGTCCGAGAGCCCCAAACAGGTGGCAGGAGGGATGTGCTGATGAGGGCAGAGCCCCCAGCATGGTGTGAATGGCTCTGGTTTGCTTCTTCCCAGGGCTGAGGGAGTGCCAGCTGGTCTCTCCTTTTTTGTGAGGAGGGGATTATGTGTACCAGTGTGTGTCTGGCGGGAAGGGGCATGCCCTGAGCTGGTGAAAGCCCTGTATGTCTCAGGTCTCCAGAGCTCCTTAGTGTCTCCCTCCGTCAGTCTGCAGGGTTGTTTGTCAGCAATGCAGTGGAGTGGGCTCCTGGGTGGAGAGATGGAGAGGACTTCTGTGAACCAGAAGGGACATCTGCAAGTCAGAGCAGTCTCAAGGTCATGAGCAGCAACGCCCTTTCTTGCCAGCATCAGCACCAGGCTTGATCTGCCAGCAGGTGCTTGTGGTAGTGGGCAGTGATATGTCCCAGGCAGTGGCAGGGGGCTATGTTGTGCCCCAGGTTGGGGTAGATGGCAAGGAATGGCTTGTGTCTGGGATGGCTCTTGGAGGGACACGCATCTCTGCATGGAAATGCCAAGTTTCAGCCTCTGAAGACTTGTGACAAGTCCTCCCTGTGTAAAGGACACATGGCCAAGGCTCAAGAAGACCTTGTAGTGTCTGGGGTAGAGGGTGGCTGGTATGTGAGGACACCAGACCATGAACTGGTGTAGCTGGTGATCAGAGTTCCCCGGCTATGCCAGGAGCAGGTAGCTATTGATGCCCTCAGATACCTGGCTCTCTCAGGGGCAGGTGTTTGGTGCACAGAGAGGCTTGGGCTCCTGCGGCAGGGACTCATGAGTATCAGATAGGTCCAGCCTCTCTGGGGGTAGACGTGGGTTTGCCCATGTATGCTTTGCTGCGCTTGGGGATTTCGGGCTCCGTGGGAGACCAGACGATGTCTGAGGACATCGGGCAGGGCTTGGGGGTCCTGCTGATGGGTGCTTGGGGAGGCTTGCAGGTGGCCTGGCATGCCTGATGGTGAGCAGGGCAGGGCTGCCCAAGGATGGTGCTCAGAAAATATGGTTGTGTACCTCAGGGCAGTGAAGAGCCTGCCTGTGTTTAGGGCAGTTCCCTGTCCCTGTACGGTGAAGCTGTCAGTGGTGCCCAAAGGTGCTGGACCAAGGGAGTACCTGGAACCTATCAGGGTCCAGGTGGTGCCCACAGCTGTGGGGTGATGAGTCTGGTGGCAGCCTGTGTCCTGCTGTGCAAATCCAGGCTGTGGAGCCCCTCCTGTGCAATGCTCGTCTCCAAAGGGGGTGAGCTCGGTGAGCTTTGCCCCATGCTCTGCCTCCCATTTCTCTGCATGCACCTGCTGCAGGGAGGATGCTTGTCCAGGGGGAGCTGGGGCTGTGGGCTCGGACGGGAGGTGTCGGCTGCCAGGAGCCTTGGGTTCCCCTCCCAGCTCTGCCTTCGCTCCCTCGGTGGCCGTGGGTCCGGCTGTCCCCTCCCGCCATGGGAGGGTGTGGGTAGGATGGAGACGTCCAGGCTCTGTTGCTTGTCCGTGTGCTCCATCCTCACGTCCTGAGCTGGTGGTACCTGGGCATGCGTAACGATGCTCTTGCTTGCTTCTCTGCAGATCTCCGGCCTCTGCCCGATGTAGCCATGACTGGGACCTGTACCCGGGAGTGCACAGAGTTCGGCCACTCCGATACTTGCTGGATGCCTGGCCAGTCCTCCCCCAGCCGCAGGCCCAAGAACGCCCTCAAACTCTCCACTTTTGTGCCTTACCAAGACAGAGGGAGTCAAGAGCAAGTCGGGAATGGCAGCCCCAGACTCTCAGAAGAGCGCAGCACCAAAATGGCCAACCTCCGCCTGCTCCCCACGTACAGTGCCTTCTCCAATAGTAGCCATGAGCCCTGCAAGGACTCTCCCATGGAGGAAATTCCTCTCACCCAGACCTCGGACTTCCAGCCAGCCACCACCCCCTCGTCCCAGACCACCAAGAGGGAGATATACCTGTGAGGCTGGGCGTGAGGGGCAGGGAGCAGACGTGCTTCTGAGGCCAGTGTCTAGAGGAACATTTTAAACTTCAATGCTTTATCGCTCCGGCCGGTTCTCCAGGCAGTGGGCTCTGCGGACAGCAGGGCAGGGCAAGGCAGGGATGAGAGGAGCACCTTTTTAACCCGTTGTTTCCTGGGGCCAGGGGTGGGTGGGAAGGATGAAAGCATCCGAAACCCAATTTCCGAGCACTTGCGGGTGCATGTCTCCGAACTGCTGCGTCGCCGGGGAGGGCTGGGCAGGCTCCTGGTGCGGAGGGCACGGCTGGGGAGAAGGGCTTACGTACCAAAGGTCCACGCAGAGCTGGTGGAGTTCCTGGGGCATAGGACAAGGGGTGTCCCCGCGCACAGGGAGTGAGCTGCCTGTCTCTTTGCTGTAGACTCCTGTAAATATGAATCTTAGGAATGACATTCAAGTCCTGCCTGATTGAAACTTTTTATTGTCCTTGAAACAAAAGACATTTAAACAAAAAAAGAAAAAAAAAAAGAAAACAGAAACAAACCACAGGGAGCAAGTTCCAGCTTTGAATGGTTTGCTGCGTGGAAGAGCCCGCGGGAGCGCAGTGTCCGGCCCACACTCATGTTCTATATTGTAAATAGAGATGTGACCAGTCCCTGAAACAGCAGCTGGGGAGCTGGAGGAAAGGGGCAGCGTCCTAGCTGGACTGTAGGGACTTTGCTATTTTTCAGCCTGGATCTCTTTCTGAACGTTGTCACTGTGCCCACAAGCTGCAGGGTCCCTAGGGACTGCCCGGTGCCATAGGTGGGGTCTGCTTTGGGGAGGGTTCCCTGGTGGTGGCCCTGCACCCAGCGGGTGGAGGAGGGATGGGGAAGCCCCCAGTCAAGGGTCTGGCTGGGTGTGGGGAAGCCCCCAGTCAAGGGACCGGCTGGGTCCGGAGAAGCCCTCAGTCCGACTCTGCTGGCAGGGAGGTCGTCATCGGCTGTGGCGTCTCAGCCCATCGCCTTGTGCCTCCTCTGGGGCAGGGGATGCCCATGAGGCCGGCTGTGCCATGCCTTCGACCTCCGTCCTGTCCGCCTGTAAGCCACCATTGCCTTTGTGAGGAGGAGCTTTGTCTCAGGGTCACACTGGGGGCCACCAAGCCCCTGCCCGCTGGACTCCCGCTGCCCTTAGGCCACAGGGCCACTCTCACGGGATCCAGCTTTCTCTTCCATTGTCAAAGGTCGACCGGTCTCCCCGGCAGCTCCCCGCTGCCCTGGCATCCTCGGCTCCCTTGCAGGACACCCAACCGGGGCAATGCTGCGCATGCGGTGGGGAGAGGACCCCCTCGCCCCTTGAGGGACTCCTCGGAGGGGGATGCCCGGGCGCTTTCCTGAGCCTGTCTGCTCCCTCAGGAGCTGGGGCACAGTCCTGTTTTGGGGGGCTCCACATGCACCCCTGGCAGGAGGGGTCCAGGGGACTTGCGCCTCATTCCTGGGTAGCCCTTCCCGGTCCTCCCCCGCCAGGACGCGGGGAGGGGCTGTGCTGCACCGTTGTTCTTCCCGTACTCATGCGCGCATCGATCGTCTTCATCTCTGGGATCTTCCTTAGGGAGCGAGGCCAGTGGTAACTGCAGGACAGTTCCCCCAGCGGCTCATCTTCAGTCCACGTGGTCCATCGCCACGGGCTCAGTGGACGGCTCTGCCAGGCTCAGCTGGCACGGTGATGCCGCAGGGACAGGGCACCCCAGCCGCTGCGGGTCAGAGACTGCCCTGCCATAGCTGTAGTGCCTGTCAGGGTGCAGTGCGCCGGGGGGCCCCCCCCGCCCAGCCTCCTCCCCCCCCCCCCCCCCCCCCCTCCAGCATCCCTCTCTGAGCAGCTCCTCTCCCTTTGCTTCGGTGGTGGTGGCAAGATGCAGCCAGCTTCCCGGTGCGGTTCCAGTTGACCTGAGGGGACGGGGTGCAAGCCGAGCCTGGGCGACAAGGGAAGGGCAGCAGAAGGCGCCTGCCGGCACCCGCTCCCTCGCGCCCCATCTCTGCTCCTCGCCTTCCCCGGGCGGCACTGCACCATGCTGCATCGCTCGCAGCCCTGGCACCTCAGGGTGCCACCTGGAGGAGGCAGGACCCTCCTCCCGGCCTCCTGCTGCTGCTCCCCGCCGACGGCCGGGGGTCCCTTGAGGCGGGCACGATGCTCCCGGTGGATGTCCGCCCGACTGTCTGGGCATCCCTGCTCTACCCTTGCCCACAGCGGCCGCCCGGCGGGGCCCACGTTCCCCTGGTCTGGCTGCCTGAGCAGGTCACACTCCTGAACTTGTTTTTATTGTAGCTCTGTAGTTTCAGGGCCAAACTGGGCAGAATGTGCAATTTGGCCGCGCTGGCCAGGATCTTTGACTCCACTGCCAACTCGACTGCTCACGCCTCCCCTCGGCTCAGGCGGTGGCAGTGTCCAGTGCCCCTCTTGGGGACCCCCCAGGAGAGTGACATAGCCACATCTGAGGGGTGCTTGTCCAAGACCAGCTCACCGCGGCCCCTCGCCTGCGGGTGGGCTCCCTACCTTCTGCTTGGGGTCACCAGAGGGACCCTGAAGCTTGAAGCCCTGTGGCTGAAGTTGCTGTCTTGTCTCCTGGAGGACCTGGCGATGTTCTCAGTGCAAGCATGGTGCAAGGGGTGGTGGGGGGTGGGAGTGCAGAGGGGGTCCCTGAGGGATGGGAGGAATGGGTGCTGGAGATGCGTGCCATGCGGGGGGGGGGGGGGGGGGCTCGGGGGGGGGCCGCGGGGG